TATGGGTCCCAGTTGGAAAACTCCTGATCTAATGCAATCCATCTCTCCATAGGTGGATCACCTCTCCAACAGCTCTAACAAATGATTACCATAATAGCAACTCACCTTTCTGTAGAACTTTAAGATTCGAAAAGTTATTTCCCCAGGACAGCTGTGCAGGTAATACATGTATGTACCCATTTTAAAGATGAAGAAATAGAGTCTTAGAAAGGCAAAATGACTTGTCCAAGGTCATATTATCTAGTCAGAGCCAGGATTTGAAACCAAATCTTGTAACAATAATAATAATCATTAACATTTATATAGCACTTCAAGGTTTTCAAAGAAGTTTACATATGTTATCTGATATAAGCCCAGGGCTTTTTTCATTATACCGTGATATCTAGTCTCTGTTTACATCCCTTCAGGGAGGAGGACGTTATTATCTCATGGGTTAGTCCATTCCATTTTAGAAAAGCAACTGGGAAAGTCATTAAGTAGAATTGCCTGGAGTATATTCACTGTACAAATTTACTCGAATAAGAACATAGTGCATAGCAAAGACTAAAGAGCAGAGACATTGCAATACTTTACATCTGCCTTTTCAGGCTTGCTAACAGGGAAACTTTGAATAAATCGGAGGATAAGAAAAAATTATGTCGTTTGTTTCTGTGTTATTACCCTGGGCTCCTTTTGTGTTTTTGGTGAGATTTCCTTTTGACCACACAAATAACATGTGGTTTTCTGATCATATTCTGAAAGGAAGAAAAATTGGAGCAGAGGAAAAAGCAGAGGGGACAGTAGAGGGATGTTGTGACACATTTCATGTCATAAGTTGACATGAAATTGTCCGCCAAGACTATGATAATGACTAAAAACATAACTTGCAGAAAAAAGTTCTTTGACATGAAATGGGATTGCTTCTTTGTTTCTCTGGGTAACCTCTCTCTCTCTCTCTCTCTCTCTCTCTCTCTCTCTCTCTCTCTCTCTCTCTCTCTCTCTCTCTTCTCTTCTCTCTCTCTCTCTCTCTCTCTCTCTCTCTCTCTCTCTCTCTCTGGGAGGGGGTGAGGGGGTGGGGGTGTATGGATGATGCCATATCAAAAATGCATTGAGATTTGTACATGTGCCCAGACTAAAAGAATCTTAGCCACAGAAGCTTAGGTCTCACAAACTTGGCTGACTGGTTTCAGTTACTAACATCCCATTTAGGAGCAACCTTGGGACATCAGTCTCATTTCATAGAGATGAAAGCATTAAATCTGTAACTTCATGGTTCCTCTGGGTTCAACCCATCTCTATATCTTGAATAGCTTCATAGGCTCAATATAACAGGACTTTCTACCCAGGAGTCTCATTTGATTATCAGCATATTTAAGAAGAAGGGATGAGATTAGTCTTGGAAAGCTTAGTACTACTGTTGTGGAGAAAGTTTTGAACTTGGGGTCAGGAGTTCTGAATTCAAATTTCTGTGTTGACAGTTACTAGCTTTAAGATCAGAGATAAATCCCTTCTCTAAGCCTCAGTTTCCACATCTGCGAAATGAAAAAGATACCAAGAGCATTGGCTTCCTCATGGTTGTTGGGAGGAAAACACTTTGTAAAGCACAAATGAAAGAAAGAAAGTGAAAAATAGCATGCTTTGGTCTGTATTCAGTCTTCTCTCGTTCTTCCTCTGGAGGCAGATAGCATGCTTCATTATGAGTCATTTGGGATTGTCTTGAATCAATGCATTGAGAATAGCAAAGTCATTCGAAGTTCTCCATTGTATAATATTGCTGTTACTGTGTACAACATTCTCCTGGTTCTGCTCACTTCCCTCGGCACCAGTTCGTGCAAACTACTATGTTTTTGTTACAGTATCTTCCCATGTCTTCACTTTGTCCTGCAGACAAGACAGGAGTGTGGCCTGTAGATAGGTCATGAAACCCCAACATTGGGCCTTTCTTACTACTGCTCCTGGGATCTCAACCAAGGTTATTTATCTATCATTGGCCCTAACTCCATCCCATGAGGAATCTTTCCTGGATCTGATTGTTGTTTCATTCATTTCTACCTCAAAGTCAAAGTCAAAACATTTTAATTAGATTAAGAAAGATGCATAGACAAAGGAAGAAATTTGCTAACAGAAGCCAGTTTACCTAAGAGAGTACAGGAAAGGGGGGAAATCAAATATGACTTGAAAGTTAATTGGATGAGTGGTATCAGAAAAAAAAAAACATGGCAACACCTATACGAACTGATGCAAAATGGAGTGCAAAGAACCAGGACAACATACAGTAACAGCAGTGCTATAATGATGATCAACTGTGAAAGACTTGGCCACCCTAGGGGCAGCTAGGTGGCGCAGTGGATAGAGCATTGGCCCTGAAGTCAGGAGGGCCTGAGTTCAAATCTGGCCTCAGACCAAACACTGGACACTTACTAGCTGTGTGGCCCTGGGCAAGTCACTTAACCCCAACTGCCAAAAAAAAAAGACTTGGCTACTCTTATCAATACAGTAATCCAAGACAGTTCCAAAGGATTAGTGATGAAAAAAGGCTATTCACTTCCAGAGAGAAAACTGATGAACTCTGAGGGCAAATTGAAGTATAATTTTCTCACTTTTTTTCCTTTTTTTGTAATATAGCTAATATGGAAATATGTTTTGCATGATTTCAAATATATAGTTGATATGTTGTTTGCTTTCTCAGTAGGTAGGGAAGGAGTAGAAGGGAGGAAGAAAATCTGGAACTCAAAATTTAAAAAAGAAGGTATATTAAAAATGAATATTTTTTAAAAAGAAAGATGCCTAGGAATGTAAAAAAAACAACAAAAATTTACATAAACTCTCTAATCATCAACTCACATTAACTGCAAGCTTTTATACCCTAAGCAAAAACCATTTCCTCTAATTGGCATTTCAATGGAGTGAATCCCTAGAGTCTTTCCCTGGCACTGCCTCAATAATGCATATGGTGCTGTGAACAGGGGACTTTTTGGGGTTAAGACTTGCCACAGTTAATGGTCACGAGCAATTTGTCTGAACTGCTGGTCACTGATGCTGCTTGACTCAAAAGTAACTGAGGAAACTCAGGAACCATGACTGCAAAAGCTGTCCTGGAGAGTGGAAGATCAGGAATCTGTTACTATGGCTGCAGATATACATCACATCACCATTCAACGTACCAAGTCCTTGCCTAGGGATAGGCACAAACAACTCCTACCCATGCTGGCTAGCTACATAGATTATCAAAATCTCTTCCATCTAGGTAGAAGTTAATAACATCCCTAATGAAATCCACCTTCAAAGGCAGCTGTCATTTCTCTTATTACTTCTATACTCCCCACACTCTTCCTCCTACATCCTTTGTCAAGCCTACACTTATTAACCAGTCAGGACTACCCTGGCACTGAAGCCAGCTAGAAATGTCACTGTACCTGCAGTCCCTGGAGAAATACCAATTTAAAGAATTCAGTATCACAGTCCAGAGTACATGTATCCTGCGTTTTTATTACGTACTTCATAAGGCTATTGTAGGTAAAATACTTTGTAGACTTCAAAGAACTATATAAAAAGGGATTATCAGTTTTATCTACTCTACTGAGATGTTATGAAGAAACTGCTTTTTAAACTATAAAACTCTTATCTAAATGTGAGCTATTATTATTGTAAATATTAGGGATTGGCACTGAACCTGTGATTTCATTGGTATAGAAAACTAGCTGGGGAGGAAACTCTCTCTGCCAAAGTTGATTAGCACCTTCTCTTGCCATTTATAGTCTTAGCAGGATGCGTAGGGCACTGAGAGATTCAGAGAGATTCAGAGTAATCAGATTGGTATGTAGCACTGGAGACTTGACCCCAGATCTTCCCAGCTTGGAGGCCAGATCTCTATTATTACACCACACTGCTGCTATATCATTGATATTAATAGTTATTAATTACTATTATTGTAGTATCTTCCATCAAAGTTTCAACTGGCCTGCATGTGGTTTTGATGGCTATCTGACCTGGGATCTGGTCCACCCCCATCTCCAAGGAAGACTTTGTGGAGAGTAGTGAGAAGACTAGGTGCCTTGTTTCCTAAATGGAAATATTCAGATTCAATATTCCTTCCTACCTTATCCTTAAAAAAAATACATGTTGACCCTTATTACATTAAGTTCAACAGGCTTCGTTTGGGACAAAAAATAACTTTTCCAAACTAGTTTGGCTGAAAGAAAGACAAGAGGCAGAATGTGCCAGGCAGATCAAACTACCACTGCTACTTCCCCTCAGACCCTGATGGAGATAGCCCAGGACCCTGAATCCAAGAGCCTTGGGAATAGAAGCACACTCCAGACCACTGATTCTGCTTCCATATTAGCTACTGCAGCCATCTTTTCCATGGAGATGCTACCAGTTAACTGATTTGGGGTACTATGGCCCTACCTCCTCAAATTCTCACCATCAGAGTCCCAGGCACTGTCCAATGGGTCAACATCACAAAAGGATACTATTTTATCAATAGAAATGGATATTAAAGAAAATGCACTACCATGTATTTTGCAGTATACTCTAGAACCATGGGAACTTTCCATCTGATTTGAAACTGAAACCACTAGTTTGCGAGTTATCTCCTTAATTAAGCAAGGGACTGTATTGCTTTCTATTAGTAATTCTAGCACATGGTACAGAGATATGTACATAGTAAGTACTTAATGCTTTTTCATCCATCCATCCATCCATTCATTCATTTATTCATGGTTTTCCAGCTGCCCTAAATGAATCTGTTAGAATCCAATAATCCTCCAGCTTTTACTTTAGCCCGGGGGTAGGAGAACCCCTAACAGTGATTCAGCCCAAATTGAGAATATGAGTTTGGCAATGCGATATCACGTGAAGGTGAAGATATATCCAGCAGAGAACCTTTTGATCAGAATATTAATCCTCCCCTCCCCCTTAGGGCAAAAAGGTTTTGGTTTCATTTCAGCCCTGTGTCTGCTCCTAAAGTTCTATAAAACTTTTGAGATGAAATCATCCCAGACTTCCTGCATGCTGCTGCTTCCTGTGAATGAGAGGCTATTTGGCACTGCACGCCTGTGCTGAATAATTTCAGAAAGTGTTGAAGTTTGATCGAAGAAGGCATTAAAATGATAGTAATTAGTACCAGGCCCTTTGCTTGAAATGCTGAGCTCCAGGAAATTACAAGGCTGCATGTGCTGAACTTATACCACAGGCTGCTTCCAAGGTTAAGGTCAGTGCTGCTGAATTCAAGGCCATCCTTTTGATGCTATGACGGAAACCTATTTGCTGCTCATAGCGGATAAGGGAAAGGGGAAAGATGTATCTGACATAATTGAAACTGTGTCTGAAAAGTGAATATGAAAAAGCTTAGGATCTTGCTTGGAAAAGTCTTCTAATCTAGGGCCCATTTTTAGATGTGGGCTGAGGGTGCAGGTATAAACCCACAGAAGGAGGATACCATATCCAGGGAGCCAAGACCACTGAAAGGCCCCGGGGGGGAGATTCAAACAGAAGGTCCAAGAATTGACACCTTGGCAGCCTCTAACCAAGCAGCCTCATGGCTAAAGCTAGGCTGGTATAGAAATCAAAAGCCCTGCCCCGAGAGGTACAGGCAAGAAGAGCTCAGGCCTTGCAGTCAGTCCACAATCATTTATGATTTACTATCCAAACCCCAAGATGTCCTAAAACCACTGAACTATGTAGCTCCCTCCTATCTATCTGAGAAGACAGCACAGTGTTGTTGTGTTATTGGTCTACTGACATGGAATAGCATTGATAATTGACATGAAATTATTGACAATATTATTTGAAATTATTGACAATATTATTTGATTGAAATTATTAACAGTAGTATTGATAATTGACATGAAATAGCAGCCTAAGATGATGAAAATGACTAAAAACATAACACATAGTCTAAAATGTGTCTGGACTTTATATTTTAGAAGCTAAGGAATGACAGAGGTTGGAGTGTACTAGAAGGTGGGGAGGGAGGAAGCCTTGAAGGTCAACAGATTGACGGGAGGAGGATAATAATAGTTAGTATTTATATAGCTCTTTAAGGCTTATAAAACACAACAGCCTGGGAGATATCATTATCCTTATTTTGTAGATTAGGAAACTGAGGCAGACAAAGAAACTTACCCAAAACTAGTAATAATAATAATAATAGCTAAATTTCTATAGCACTTCCTATGTGCCAGATACGGTACTAAGGGCTTTACAATTATCATCTCATTTGTTCTTCACAGCAACCCTGGGAAGTAAGTGTTATTGTTAATCCCATTTTTCAGATGAATAAACTGAGACAGAGGTTGAGAAACTTACCCAGGGTTACACAACTAGTAATAATAATAATAATAATAATAATAATAATATAATAATAGCTAACATTCATATAGCACTTACTATGTGGCAGGTATTGTTCTAAGAGTTTTATAGTCATCTCATTTTATCCGCACAACCCTGGGAGTTAGGTGTTATTGTCACTCCTTTTTTACAGATAAGGAAACTGAGACAAAGAGTTTAAGTGACGAGCCCAGGATCATACAGATAGTAAGTGTCTAAGGTAGGATTTGAACTCAGGTCTTTCCTGACTCCAGGTCCACTTTTCTATCTAATGTACCACCTAAGTACGAGGAAGAAAGTCACTGATTAGTTATCATATGTGCTTGGTAAGTAAGATTTCAGAACAACCTTTTCATCTATCATGTAACATTGCCTGTGATATTATGACATTTTGCTATTTGGACCATATTTTTCTCAATTTTTTGTGTGTTATTTAAGGATACCAATGAAAGCAAGTGAATGTATGTATATATGTATGTATGTACGTATGTGTGTATGTATATGTTGGAGATGCCAGTGTCTTTTCCGGAAACCCAAGATCAATACTCCAGACACTAATACCCCAGAGTCTAAGGGAAAGGTACTAGAAAAAGATAAGAGAATTGTTATTCCTGAAAAGTTCTGTCTGTCCTACCTCTAATTTCAAATTTCACAGTTTCTGTACTACTTTCCTTCTCTTATGTAGGTTCTCCTCCAAGAACGCCTCATTTTACTTTCAGTGTACTGGCTGACAAAGCCAGGCAGTGGGAGGTGGAGCAATGGGGGAGGAGGAGAGAGGGGTAAAGAGAAAGGGGCTTTGGATAACTCTAAATCTGCAGGCAAATTTAAAGCCCCGTCTCCTGGAGAAATGCCTATAGGATTTGGTTGCTCCTTTCCACCCCCATCTTGATTCCAGTACATTTTTCCTCCATCTTTGTTCATCTTCTTTTTCCTTTGACCCTTTCCTCTCTACCTACCTATTCTAGCTGCCTCTCAGGTCAACTATTATACTTTAGGCCAATTTCCTTTTTATGATAGAAATGGTCATCATTCATTAAAATTTGAAAATAAAAATTGATTTCTAAATCAACACACAAGGCCAGTCCTGTATGACTTGTAAAATAGAAAAATATTTTTTTTAGCTCTCCATCGGCCCTTTGTTTTTCCTAATTCATTGTCCCCTCTCCTCCAGCCACCCAATTATTCTATGTTGTACTGACTCTTGTCATTGAGGAAGATAATGAAACAAACTCATCTACATCAAAGTCATATGTCTGTAGCTTTAGATTGGGAAGGAATAGTAGATATCACCTAGAAGTCCAACTCCCTTTCTTTAGAGATGAAGAAACTGAGATCCAGACATATTTAGTGGTTTGCTTAAGGTAGTAAATGAAAGAGCCAGGATTTGGAGTCCTATGACTACATATTCAGTTTTTTTATGTTCAATGCTCTTTCTACTATACCATGCTTAAGAACTTAGTATTGATCACCATGTAGAAGTATATACATTTTTTAAATGTCACTTATGGAGGCATGTTGCCTAATGTAAAGAAATGACTAATAGGCACCAGTGAAAGAGGTCTTTTGAGGTGGAAGGAGTACCTCACATGCCTCAATTCACAGCAACAGAGGAAACCTTTTACACTGCCTATACACAAGGTCAGTCTTGCCAACACGAGCAAAACTTGCATGTGCATGCTCCAAGGTGAGGAAGCCTTTTTGATTCACGTATAAATTAGATTTAAGTGAGGCGAAGTTGTGCAAAGTTGTCAGAGTCTCTCTCTTCCAGTCATCAACATCTAGTGGCAAGACAAAAGTCAGGATGACTAGTGATGGCTCAGGATGCAGTGGATGACCTTGGCATCTTCAATGTCTGACCAAGCTCTAAGTGCTCCACAGTGTTGCTTCAGCTACCTTCGTGGCCATTGAAACAAAATGTTCATAATCTGCCACTTCCACAGGGGAAGCCTCCACATGCTTGGGGTAGACACCTTCCTAACTCATCCATAGTTTGAGGCCCATTGGTTACCCTCAACCTGGTTTAGCCTATCTGCAGAGATGGTTTCACCAGGGTGCGGCCGCTGCTCATGTTACAGCTTCTTGCAGCCACAGGAAAGAGTTGGGTGGCAGGTGAACACCAAAGGTGGATGAGAAGCCCTGAGAAAGGCTTGGCAGCCCTCACATCAGGGATACTAGTCTTCCCTGAACACCCCATAAATCCCAAGACAAGACAAGATACCCAAGGTTCAAGATATTCTATAGGTCTGGATCCACACGTAAAAAATGCATGATTCATAAGCCTCTCACAATGTATTTACTTGTACTAATCAGCCAAAGGACATAAATTAATTGAAGTTAAAGACATTTAATGAAATTGTACAGTAAGAAAAGTAGCAATAGCACAAGTGAATACATCTAAGGGTCACATGTGGCCAGGGTGAACATATGGAGGGGCACACATGTGGCCAGGGTGTACAAGTGGAGAACTCCGATGATACTGGGTCACTAAAGGGTTCTAGTGAAGTCATCACACTCCTTCCATTGAGCCTTCTTCCTGAGCATTGCATGGAGTCTGTCAGGCAGTGTTCTACTGAGCTGCAAAGCTTCCCACTGCTGCCAGCTTTTGGCCTTCAGCTTGAGTCCTCCATTGAGGAGCTACCTTTATCCCCACAAGAAAAGGAGTAGATTCTGTCATTCTTCCTTTAGCTTAGAACTTAGAGGTTAAGATTCATATCTTTCAGTATGGGGGCTAGGTTTGCCAAACACTCAATCATCAGACTAGAGGAAAACACTCAATTATTGTCTCTTCAGAAGGAAAAGAATCTGTCAGTTCCTGGGTTTTAGATATGTTCAGCTTTTCTCACCAGGACAGAAACAGCCTCATGGCCAGGCTCTCTTGGGGGGCAGCTAGGTGGAGCAGTGGACAGAGCACTGGCCCTGAAGTCAGGAGGACCTGAGTTCAAATTTGGCCTCAGACCAAATACTTGACACTTACTAGCTGTGTGACTCTGGGCAAGTCACTTAACCCCAATGCCTAAAAGCAAAGCAAAAAGAAAAAAAGAAACAAGCTCTCTTGGAACACTCAATAGATGGGAAAGCAAATAGAGAATGCAAGCATTAAATCTATCTTTGAGCCTTACTCCTTCTCAGGAAGAGCAACATCTCTGTCCCAATGCCTCTGACTTAAGGTTAGAAAGTCCTTTTTAAGATCTATCAATTCCATATTGCAATGCACCCCTTTATAACTCTGGGTTTAAGATTATTCAGTTTTCAAGATTCTTTTCTCTCGCATTCAAATAAAAGGGAGACTAGAAGGCAAGGAAGGGGAAAGCAAAGTAGAAATACGAGGAGGCATAACCCTCTCGCCTTTGTCACAAATTCCTACCTTTATTATGGACATGCGGCTGGCTATGAGTTTTTCAGGTGTGATCTGATTCTATAGGTGAAGTATATTTTGGTTATTTCTGAAACTATTTCATTATATTTCATATATTGCCCAGGTTATAATACGCCGTCAAATGGGAGGCCATCTATATGCCATGTCTTAGATAGGCATTGCAGATGATTAATGAGGTAGGGCCTGAATTGAATAGAAAAAGGATGGCAAACTCGAATTTCATTTGTGGAATCATGCAGAAGGAAAAGTAGCTTTCATTGATCCTAAACTATTCATTAGCAAATATAGCACATTGGTATATGTATATACACCCATATTCTCCTAGTGATACAATGTGACAGCAAGCTATGGAAAATCATGAGCTTCTGGAAATAAAAATGGCAGGCAACCCAAAAGAAAATGGGAATGTGTGTGGTGGATGTAAATAGGGTGCAGTATATTACCAGTGAGGACTTGTGGTTGAAAAATGGTAGAGAAGACATCATCAAAACTACAAATGACTGGAA